TGTGTGTGTGTGTGTGTGTGTGTGTGTGTGTGTGTGTGTGTGTGTGTGTTGGGTGGGGGGTGTTCCCAGCACTAACACCAGGAACTCATCACCAGCCAAGCTAAAGCTTTGTGACGCAAAAGGACAGAAAAAAGTTTTAAAGGACAGGATGCCATCTGTGTTACCCTGGAAGCCAATCAAGCTGAAGGCAGTGATAAAACACCTTAAGCTCAAGTTGTTGGTTCAGTACTATGGTAACCATTGTTCRTTTTTGTTTTTGAAAGAGTCAAAGATCCAGCAAAMAGGAGCTCAGGATTTTATGGAGACTCAGTAGYAACATTAAAGTCACTGAGCTGTTTTATACTTAGCTATCCATTTTGTGCTCTAAGTCTGTATTTATGTGCCATAATTAACAGATTGTAAAGGCACAGAAGTGTACTACATTTAAAAATAAGCAATCAAGCATTGCTTGAAAGAATGCATGTCCCCTCTCTTCTTTCATGATTGAGTTTAAAATTAGATAAAGTGATAGAATAGAATAGAATAGAATAGAATAGAATAAAATAGAATAGAATAGAATTTTAATGTCCACTGTAGTGACAATATTTTTCTGTCTCACCAGACATGCAAAGTATACAGAACGTATCAAGTTGCGATAACAATAAAAACCTGGACAAGTTCATAAGGAACTGTGAAACAACTTCAGAGACTCAAACWGACTAAAACCAGGGTGTGAACTATCTGCAGTCATTCTCTGGCTTTCCTCCCTGTCCTGTCAGTACAGAGGTGCATCTTATGCTGAAATAAGATGTGGTTATAGCCTKTTTGTTTTAACCCTAAGGAAAACATTATGCACGATCATGTATTGCAATGTTGGAAGGTGTCACATCATGTGTTTGGGCTCAGAGTATGTGTTGAAGATGACTCAGCAGCTACCACTACACCAGGTTTAAACTCAATATTTTAAGAAAATGATTGAGCTGTAGCCAATAAATTMAWTYTGATGATACAWTTTTCTGTAGCTATTTTAGATTTGATCAGTTCCAAAAGTTAATAATCAGTCATGTACACTGAAGGAGATTTATTACAATTCATTTGGTGTCCAAATGAAATTAATTTCAACAGTTAATGCCCAAGATGTTACATGTGTGCTAAAAACATACGTTGGGAATTACTTCCAGCTTCTACCACATAAAATATCTGAAGCTGAAAAAAATATTTTTTTTCCCAATGATCTGTAGATATTTTGGCAACAGAAAAAACAACCACACAATAATATATCACTACTGAGACTAAATCGAGTCTAATTCAGCAGAACTGTGCTGTCATGTCGGCAGCAGAACACGAGAGGGCAGCAAAGAGTCTCTRCAGAAACTCAACACGGAAGTGAGTTAAAAAACGGAAAAGAAGAAAGCAGCTGATGGTGGCATCTCAGAGGTAATACATTACATACGAGAAAGCATATGACCAAACTGATCTTTTTAGTCGGTAGAGCTTATTTAAAACCAAGTAAACATATGTACCCTGAGATAGAACTTGGTATTCAAAGTGTAGCAGGTCTGGACTTCGGTGTTTCCTTTAAATATGACTGWGTGAAATTGCTTCGGTCTCCTAAATCTGCCGCTACATTAACATTTGTAACCTAGAATTTATTATTGTTGTGTTTTTRCTGATGCAAATGCCAATTACTGGAAAACAAAAAAAGCATTGTTCGTCATATATGGAGTTAATCAGAATTAGGTCGCTTTTGTCATAATCCTCCTGCAGAACAAAATGTTTTCAAGGAGTTATTACCCAGAAATAAGCTCTTTATTCAGCTGAAATGTATTTAATAACCACGGCTTGTGAGCCGAATTTTCCGGAAGGGGTTAATTAATAAAAATAACTGTAGTTTGTAGTTAATCACTTGAGTACACAAGCCAGGCGGAGTTAAACATGAAATCCTACATATTTTGAGTATAGTTTGGTTWAAAAAAAATGAAACTAGCAGATTTGTGTACTTGGAGTTGAAGTTTGTTTACCTGAATTTTGTCCATTTTGAATTTAATGCACAGCTGACATTTTTTAACACATTTGAAACTTGCAAATTTTTCTTTTAAAGAGAGAAAATGTTTCTATGTTGCGTTTATTGTATCTAAATACAATGAAAGGCCCAGCATTTGGAAAAAAACAAGCAACTTCCTTTTTGCCAAGTTTAGACTGAGATTATTTTCTTTTGTTGAGAAATGGTAAATGKTACTGAACTTATAGAGCTAACAGACATTCACACACTGATATCACATAGATGTCACGACCAGTATGTATGAGTATGTGTTGAGAAAATTGCAGCTTCTTCTACCACATCAAATTTTATTTCAGTTTATGTTGAATTGACCGACATAAACATTTTTGTGTTGGCTYATGTTGGTCAGCTGTGGTGACCATATAGGATTGGATTTCTTCAGTTGTAGATGTACGTACAGAGATTACATCATGGATGTTTCTTTAGATTTATTTAATTGTGCATTAGTTGTTTAGCTAACACACTCTGGTAAATATCTACTCTAAGATGATGCTAAACTCCAGAGCTCAGAAGGTCAACTCCACCGTTGCTGTGTGTTGAAAGTCATGTGCAGCTGTTGTTCTGTGTCGTTATGTTCCAGCAGGTTCTATGCTCCGGCTCCGGACGAGTGAGGAAGAATCAAACAGCAGTGAGATCTCCCGGCTCCGGCACGTTGTGTTACAAAACGATGACCAACTCGTTGACGAGATGCTCTGCCAGGAGATCTACAAGAAAGTCATCAACTGCCGAGGAGGGTGGGGCATCGCAGGCACCCCCCTGCATGCTGCCGTGTCCAAAGGTCACCTCAGCTGCCTGCAGGTTCTGCTGGCTCATGGTGCTCTCGTAGAGTGTGTGGACGTTAAAGCCCAGACGCCTCTGTTTGCAGCTGTTCGGGGGAAATATCTGGATTGTGTCTTAGCTCTCCTCAGAGCCGGTGCCAACCCCAAYGGCAACCCGTCTAATAACGGCTCTCCGGTCCTCACGGCGGCGCGGGAAGGGGACGTGGAGATCCTGAGGCAGCTGCTCATACACGGCGCCGAGGTGAACTCTCGCTCCAAGGTCCTACTGTGGACCTCCAGTGCCAGGGTGAGCAGCGGGCCCCTGTACCTGGCTGCTGTTTATGGACACATGGAGTGCTTCAGACTGCTGCTCCTCTATGGTGCGGACCCGGATTACAACTGCGGGGATGCAAAGCTGCTGAGCTCCGTCAAGCAGCCTAAAACGGTGCTGGAGATGTGCCTGAGGCACGGCTGCAGCGTGGAGTACATCCAGCTGCTGATTGACTTTGGAGCCAACGTCTACCTCCCCACGCTGATCATCGAGAAGTCCACCAAGCAGAACGAAGCTGTGGAGCTGCTTCTGAGGGAGAGAGGTACTGAAAACCCAGGTTACCAGGAAATACTTGAAGCAGCCACAMACCGGGTTATTTGCTTTTTATTTATGAATAGAAATAAAAACAGAATGTAATTATTAGCAAATCTCATAAAACTGTATTTTAATTACAGTAGAACTCAGTAAACATATAAAATATTTAAACTAGGAAAGAAATAAGGTCATTTTGATTTTGGTGGCAGCAACACATCTCAGAAACGTTGGGACAGGACCGTGTTTCCCACTGTGAAGCAGCCCCTCTTTAGTCATCACTCTGTAAACATGTAGAGRCTCAGGAGACCAGCTGTCCTCTTCTGGTCTTGTTTTCAGTTGGTGAGAGGTCTGGACTGCAGGTTCAGTTCAGCAGCTGAACTCTTTAACTATGAAACCATGATGCTGTTGTTGATGCAGCATGTTGTTCAGAATCATTTTGCTGAAAAAGACCAGATTTCTCTAAAAAAAAAAAGACATCTGGATGTGAGCACATGTTCTAAAACCTGTACACACTTTGTCTGCACTGTTTGTTTTCCAGATGAATAAACTGCTTATGCCATGGGCACCAGTGCACCCCAATACCACCAGAGAGGCAGTTTTATGAACTGTGCTTTTATGAATAACATGCTGGATGCTTCCCTCCTCTTTGGTAAAAAAAGCGTAACATCCGTGGTTTCTTATATAGGTGTAAGAAAATATCAGTACACTGAACTATCTCTATATTTCTAAGTCCTGATGGCTGAATCTGAGCAGTTTAGAACAACACTCCTGACATCAGAGCTGAGGTAAGTTTGCTAACAGTCCCTAAGCCAAATCGAAGTGTCCTGTTTGGGAGGCTCTTTCAGAATGCAGTCGGCCGTCACGTTACGGAAGTTAAGCATTTGTCCAGYACCCTGAGCTGAAGGGGTTCCCAAGAGACAGTATTGAAGTGGCCAGATGTAACAGTCAATGAAACACTGAGTGCAATGTGTCCTCGTGTTGTTTTTCACATTCCTATCAATTCCAGCCTTTTGCTGCTCTCATTCCAACACTTTAGGGATGTGTTGCTGCCATAAGACTAAATTGCCAACCCCTCCCCAAAGGAAAAAGCATAAATTCTCAGTTTGATCATTTGTTAAATTATACTATGTCAAATTATGAATAAAATAGATTTATGCGATTTGCAATTTTTTTTGCAGTTTTCTTCCTAATGTGTTTTGGATTTGGTGTTGTAAATAGAATACCAAAAAGCAGGAAAAACTTTACCAACTTTATTTCASTTCTCACACTCTGCAGGATGTGAGCTGCTGCTCTAATTGTGAGTTGGAAAAAAATGGAAATAGTTAAATAAATATACTCTAGAACTAGTAACTTTGGTAAACATGAAACCCAAATAGGGATTTTGAAAATGTAAAGACATGTCTGCCATGTATGTGGATGGATGCTCATTCCACCACGACAAAATCTGCAAAGCTGCTGTTGGAGTAGACCTACTGCAAGATCCCTACAATAAGTTTAGGAGTTAAAAAATGTTACAACTTTTTCTGAGTCTGTGGGAACAAAATTAATTCAGACGTCACACAAGGCCGTTCTAAAGAATAGATATTAAACTGATGCATTAGTTATAAACAGTAAAACTGATTTGCAGTCGGCTCCTTTAATAACAAACATTTCCTCCTCTCCTTTCACTCCCAGGAAATCCCAAAGCCTTGACTTCTCAGTGCCGACTCGCCGTGCGAAGATACCTGAAGAAGATTAACAAGATCCACTGTATCGAGCAGCTGGAAATGCCAACAAGTCTTAAAAACTTCTTGCTGTATAAAACGCCCCCGCTCATTGTTCTGTAGGGTCTTTTTTTTTTTATTATTACTCATTTTGATTCAGCTAGTTTGACCTTATTTGTCTTAAAATGCTTCATGTCTCCACATTTTATTCTGTTTTAGCATGTTTGTCCTCCCATAAGATTAAAGATTAAATATGGATCACGCTCCTGTGTTTCTTTTGAAGCCCATTTCTTTCATTTTAAAGGCACTTTTAAAAAAGRTAAGAAATCATTATTACATGAAGAGTGCTGTGATAGAGGTAAAGCAGCTGTTGGTTTAAGCCAAATTAAAATTTAACGTCACAGATTTAAGGCCTCTTCTACAAGGCTTGTAAGCCCAGCTTAAAGAAAAYACATTTATTTCAGTAAGTTTTATTTATTTTATTTTACCTTGTTTATCCAGGCAAATCCCATTGAGATCACAGATCTGTTTTTCAAGGGTGGCCTGGGMCTGAAGGCAAGATGCTGCAGATCTTCTACAAGTCTGTTGTTGAGAGCGTCATCTCTTCTGCCATCATCTGTTGGGGCAGCAGCATCAGAGCCAGGGACCTAAAAAGGCTAAACAACCTGATAAAGAAGGCTGGTTCTGTTCTGGGGACGACTGTGGAATCTCTGGAGATGATGGTGCAAAGAAGGATTTTACATAAAATCAAGAACATTGTGGACAACCCTGACCATCYTCTTCATCAGACTGTCATAGAAAAACATTGTCTTCAGTCGGAGGCTTCTTCAATTTCACTGTAATACAGACCGCTTATAGAAGATCATTCCTGCCATCAGTATCTACAATAACTCTTTAGTTAAATGAGTTACTACAACATGCAATTTCACTCCGGGATCAATGAATTATGTTTGAATTTAATATAATTTAATTTGGAAAAACAAAAACAAATTATTTGTTGACAGCCCCACAATACCAGTGGGGGGAAAAACATTCATTTAGCTTTTGAAAAGCGAAAAATATTTCATATTTTTTATTAACAGTTCTTAAATCTCAGCAACCAAACATTCACCAGCTCTGGAATGAAAAAAATAATTAGATTTTTTTTAAACATTTAACTTATTTCAGAAAAAGAGCAGACATTTTAAGGGAAGTTAAAGCTGCTCATCGGAAAAGACATATAGCAGGTAAATCCAACATAAAATTTCAAGTAAAGCCATCATGACAACTTCGTTAAAAAAAAAATCAGTTCTGTGCTTTTGATTTKGTCATCTTCAAGTAGCTGTAATTCAATTTAAATTGCATAACAGTGTTTTAAAAGAAGACACCGCGTTTGGTCCCATTTTTAAAAACTGAGGTCACTTCTATAATGGCTGAAGGTTTGTTCATCGTCAGTGTGGATTCAGCCCAGMCCCACATCCAGTGACATCATCACCACGAAGCCCAGGATGGAGGTCCAAGACGCCAACTTGCCATTTCCACTGGAGACACCAAAGCAGAGCAAACATGAGCAGAAAACTCACAAACTATTTTTATTTACTATTAAACAATGCTGCAACTAAAGTGTCCTCTTCCTTCCCACCTGACTTGCGCCTCAGGTATGATGTCATCCACCACCACGTAGACCATCGCCCCAGCTGCAAACGCCAACGCGTACGGCAGCAGAGGTTCTGCCAGAACAACAGCGCCGGCTCCCAGCAGCCCAGCAATGGGTTCCACCATCCCGCTGAGCTGACCGTACCTGAGACACCACAAACAAACAAAGTTTCTTTGTTGGAAGGATCGGACTCAGACTTTTGACCGCATTCAGCTTTCAAACAATCCTTAGCAGACAAAGTCTGACATCAGTGAAGCACTGGTTAAGATTAGTCAGAAATTTGGGTTGTTTGGCAGGAAAGAAATTTGGTATCATCTGCATTTTTGACACTATTTAAAATTTTCTGACTTTTCCAGATTAAAAATTTCTGTTGATTTTTTTGACAAACTTTTGATTTCAAAATATCCTTAAATTTTGTTTGGTTTTCTGTTTKTTTATGATGCTATTTCGTCTGTATGTTGATTTGAAATTGATGATGTCAGAAGATTTATTTTTACCATTGATTTGACTCTGCATGTCATAATGATAAACAGTTAAACACATTAAAATATATAACAAAATATTTAATATTTATTTTATTTATATCACACCAAAACTTTGAGTGCTTTTTTAAAAAATAAAATCTTTAAAAGAGGTTGTATTTTGTATAATGTTTGTCTATTACATCAGTGGTTTCCATACTTTCCAGCATGTGAGCCACAAAATACCAGCAGCAGAAACCTGTGCCTCATCTCATTTTGGTGATAAACATCAGTAACAGGTCAGATAAACAAGGGCAAAACAGAGCAAAACAATATTCATTATGTTATTTTTATACATTTTAAGTACACTGACCACACTCTTTTGTAACAACTAATGCAAAAATGTATTGTTAGTAGTATTTGTAAATGTAATTTATTCGGAAAATCTTTCAAGACCCCACCTTGATGTTTCAGGACCCCATTGTGTGTCCCAATCCCAACTTTGGTAAACACTGCACTAAATGGTTAAGGTCGCATTTTCCTAGATCCCTTTTGTAAAGTCTTGAAAAGTAATCCACATTCCTTAATTTAGTTCCCTAGTAATATGTGAATTAAAAGTGTGCATGGTGGTGATCTGTTACATATAAAATATCCTGCTTATTTCAGCAACCTTCAAAATTGCAACTTTCGAATTTTAAGAAAATAAAATAGGTAATAGACTTTGGAAACATATATATTCCCATAAATACCCAGATCTATAAAATACTAACATTAAATTCTATACATACTATTCAAAACTACACAGGAAACCTTTAAGTTTTGTTTTGTTTACTCATAGACCCAAGTAGGAGAAAACAAATTTAACAGAAGAGAACCAAGTACCCAGCCTTGTGGAACTCCATTTTGCAATGCTGATTTAATTTCATTTAAAATTAGTCAACAATAAAAT